GACTATGCCTGGACAGTTGGGCCCTGCAGATCGCTGGCCTTCCTCAGATTCCTCCACGTGACCCAGAATGTTCCCCAAAGAGGTCTTCTTTCGTTTTCTGATGAGATCACTGCTTTTCGGCTGGATCACCCTCATCCGGCTTCTGTCTGCCTCAGCGGTGGTCCGGCTCTGAGACGGAGGCCCCGCTGTGAAGATGGGTTGTCCAGATAAGGAAGTGACCCTCCTGAAGCCAGAGAAGGAGAACCTCACAGGGGACTCCGGAACTGTTAAGGCTAAGGGGTCCAAGATCTGGAAGGATGGAATAGATCTCCAAAGGGTCTCTCCAGCCCATCTTCCCTTGCGTTCTCAAGAGTGAGAGAGATGGATGTTACCTTATGTCATAACCCCACTTACAGGGTTTACATGAGTTCCACCCGTCCTATGCCACCCCCTGCCTACTTTTACACAGTGTAGATCCTGGGTGGTGATTCCACACACACAAGTCCACAGAATAGCGTCTGGCTACCCATGTCTGCCGATTCCCAGTAAGGTTGAAACTGGTCCCATGGTGCCTGCCTGCCTCCTGGGGGCCTATGTAACTCTGATATGTTAGTGAGTGAAGAGGGGGTAGGAAGCTTTCCTCCAAAAAAGATGACCGGGCCAAAGGGCCAGCACTCAGGAGCCCAGAGGCAAAGGGAGAAGGTCACCCTTGGGAATGTCAGGGGCTTCCCTGGGAACCTGTTCTTTGGGGAGGAAGAGCTGCTTCTCTCCCTCCCTCCCTCCCTCCCTTTTGGGGATGGTGGGCTCAGCGGAGCTCCATCCAAGGGCCCTTCTGCTGTACTGGCTCCTCTCCCTCTTGGGGGGCCCAGGCAGTGCAGGGCAGTTGGGTGGCATGGAAACGGCTGAGGTCACCCACTTCTCTCTGCCTCTTCTTCCAGATTCTGTGGAAGTAATACAGAACCAGACAACCTGGATCCGGACTGAATTTAACCCCACCCTCAAGATGTCTACCTACTTGCTTGCTTTTATTGTCAGCCAGTTTGAGCATGTGAATGCTACCCAGAATAGCACTGAGGTAGGCCTGGGTCTAGCTGGGGGCCCGCTGCCCAGACCAGGCACATTCTCTAGGTTGCTCTACACTGGAACAGGGGCCTTTCCTGAGTGTTCTCGGGTCCTCTTTCAGATCCGGATCTGGGGCCGTCCCACGGCCATCAAGGAGGGCCAGGGTGACTACGCTCTCAAAGTCACTGGACCCATTCTCAGCTTCTTTGAGCAGCACTACAACATATCTTATCCTCTGAGCCATTTAGGTAGGTGAGGAGGGCTGAGATACAGGTAAACGTCTTGACATTGGAGACGGGGGAGACCTGCTGTAGCCTTCAGCCATGATGGGTGTCCCATGGATGTGACCATCCCCCACGTGGTTTATTCTTACTGGTTTTAGCATCTCCTCCTGATCCTTACACTCAACATTTCACAGGCAGTCTTCAGCACCATAGGTAACTTACCTGCACCTGGATGGAAGAATTATGTCAATGAGAGACTCCACTTGAATTTAAGCTCCCCTCTCCCCTTGCACAGCATTAGCAGTGCTTGTGAAAAGATGCTTTGATCAGGAGGACTGGGTCAAGGTTGAACAGGGAGTCCTGGAGGAGGTTCCAGTTCAGTTAACGGAGATTTCTCTTTGCAGACCAGGTTGCCCTTCCAGATTTCAATGCTGGAGCAATGGAGAATTGGGGGCTGCTCACATACCGTGAGAGCGCGCTACTCTTTGACCCTGGTTTCTCTTCCATTGGCAACAAGGAGCGGATTGTGACGGTGATTGCTCATGAAGTTGCCCACCAGGTACTTTCCTGATTATAGGTTTGGGGCAACTGAATCATAGAGGGCACACAAGAGAGCTTCCAGGCAACTGACACTCTTCACCATCATGGTCTGGTCTCTGGCTAAACCCCTGGCATCCTCACTCCATCCCCTTATGTGCCCAGGGGCCCTTGGGAAGATGTGTATGGGACTAACCTCCTGCCTCTCTACAGTGGTTCGGAAACCTGGTGACCCTGGAGTGGTGGAACGATCTGTGGCTAAATGAGGGGTTCGCATCATACGTGGAATATCTCGGTGCGCACGCAGCTGAGCCCAGCTGGAATATTGTAAGTCCCTATGTGGGATGCTGGGGGGGCATGGAGGGTGACGGTGCAGCTGATTGCCAACGGGTGAAACTGGGCAGTAAAATTGGAGAGGGGCTTTTTCCAAATTCACATTAACCGTCCCGTTGGCAGCTACACCCTGCCCCCTTTGCCCTGGAGGGAAAAGCCATGGTGGCAGAGCACCCTGGACCAGCCCAAAGGTGCCCGCGTGGGGCGGGCTGTTCCCACCCCCTACAGAAGAGAGAGCTTGCCAGGGCAAGGCCCTAGACTAGCTACGTGGTAGGCCTGCCTGGGTTCCTGATGCCCCAATAGCTCTGGAAGGAGCCCCCGAGAGCCAGGCTCGTTCTAAGCGGAATCAAGAGAGGAGTGTGTGGGAGGCCGAGTTGCCAGGAGGCGCCCTGCATTCCCCCTGGGCTGGGCAGCTGAAAGCAGGTCAGGCCTGCAAAGGGAGTCCAGAAGGAGCGTTCCAGGAAAAATCCCAAGGCTTGAGTGGCTGCGCATTTTATCCTCTGCCAAGGAATCTCTCACTAGGCTGAGTTGACATGAGACGTGTAACATGGTTGCTGACCCCCCTTATTTAACCTGTTTTCTGGGTTAGTACAATACACTGCATCATAAACTAACCCAATTCATGCAGTATGTTAGCCCTCCTCTTCTCCCAGGGTAAGCATGTTGTCTGAATGCAGCCCTTTAACTGACTTGGCTGAGTGTGTTGTGTGAATCTAGCCCAGGCCTCTGAAGGGCTGTGACCCTATCCTGAAAAGTCATCTAGACGTGCCCTTCCTGGTGCATGGGAGGAAGGGGCTTGATTCTCCCAGGACAAAAGGGGGTCCTGCTGAGGAGGCTTCCATAGGCCCTCCTGGTGGATCCAAGGCCCCTGGCATAGATCCAGGAGAAGGTGCTTCCACAGGGTTGTATCAGGATGCAATGAGGTTGCTGCCCACTCTGTGGGCTTTGAGGAAGAAGAGCAGGGGCCGATCAGGTTGCTTTGTGGCCTGAATTTAAGACATTAATTTTCAGAAAGACCTGATTGTATCGAACGACATGTACCGCGTGATGGCCATCGATGCCCTGGCTTCCTCACATCCACTCTCCACCCCTGCAGATGAAATCAACACCCCAGCTCAGATCAGTGAAGTGTTTGATTCCATTTCCTACAGTAAGGTGAGGAAGGGGCTGGGCACACACACACGCACCCCGGTCTCTGAGAGCAGGAGTGATGTCTTATTAGCTCTGCTGCCCGGCCTTCACCCCTAGAGGGCGACCCGGAGCAAAATGCAGCCAGGCACAGGTGCAGTAAAAGCCCCCAAGGTGAGAAGGGTGAACAGGATCTGTGCCACCAGGCTGAACATCAGTCAAAATGCGAGGTCAAGTAAACAGGGAGGGTCACGAGCAAGTTGGGAGGGGGGAGTTGCATTTTTTTAAAAGAAAAAATTATCAATCTTGGTGAGGCAGCACGGGAGCGCTCTCACACGTTGCTGCAGCTTGGCCTGGAGGAGCCTTGGGAGGCTGACCCATTCAAGCAGGCCGCAGAGCCGCGGGCAGGCTTTGAGAAAGGGCTAGCCATCGGCCGGCTGGCTGTTAAAACTTTCACCAGTCCCAGAGGAGCTGCTGTTTTGCTGTGCGTATTAGTGAACTTCGGGATTGTTATTCGAGATCCGTTTCTGTATTTTCCAAATGGATCAATCTAACCAGGAGTCCTATATCAGGCCTATGTCAAGAAAATACAATGAACGCTGCATATCTTTTGCTGGGCAATACGGCTTACGGAATTTGGTGTCTGTTCGCAGCTGGGGAGCATGGGCTTCAGAGAATTAAGCAGGGATTTGCTGCCATCTTCCTGGGATGATCCCCAGGGCAGCCCACAGTGAGATTGGGACCAGGTCTGCACCACGAGCCGCAGTTTCCTTCCTCTGGAGACCCTCCTGGGAGCTTCTGGAAGAAAAGAGGGGGCGGGCGGGTGGGCAGAGAGCCTCCTGA